CCCTCCCACCTGCTGCCTGCCCTACTGCCCCGCCCCAGGCAGGCTGGTTGGAATGAGATAGTGGAGGGGGCGGGGTAAGAGTGAGAAAATTTTTTCTGGGCAACCCTCTCCTTAGATTCTACATACAACCCAAGCACCACACGCAGACCTATAACCCTTACAAAAATAAAATAGGAATTTTCCCTTCCCGTGCCAACAACAACAAAAATACCTTAAAATCCCCAGAGATGTACAGATAAAAGACGTAAGTTTCTTGGGTATACAAAACCTTCAGAAAGCAAAACGTACAAACACTAAGACATATACACTACGCTTTCCTGTCCCCCATATGAGCCCCCGCTCTCAGGATCTCCCTTCTAATCCTCCTGGGTTTAGAACACTCTTGCTCCCAACTGCTCTCCCTATGAACTCACTCAGCTGCTCTGTGCAGCCTTTCCCAGAGTTAATCCCAGGTCCTGTGTTCCCGAGGCACTTGGCACACACTTCTGTTGCAACATTTAACACCAACTATGGGGAGATGCAAATAAGCAAAGCAGCAAGCTAAAGACTGTTGCCCTTCAGGAGTGCAGAGTTCACTGTTGTCAGGGTTTCCAATTTTTTAATCCAGCCTTTTAATGTGAAATATCCTATGGCAGGAGAAGGGATTGAGTGCACAAGACACAAGTAAAATTAAGGGAACTGTTCTATATCTTGGTTGTGGTGGTAGTTACACAGGTGTTAAAAAACTCTACGAAATGAACACTTTAATTGAATTGTATTGTATGTAAATAGTACCTTAAACAGAAAGGCATTAGGGGGGCACTGGAAACCAATTCAAAACCATTTTAAACTGAGCAGCTTCAACAAAACATATCTGGTAGCCAAATCTGGCCTGTGGGCTGCCAGTTCACAGCCTCTGTTTGTTTTAAATTACCTGTTCGCCTGTTTTGTCCCATTCCCTGGGACTATGAATTCTCAAAGGAATAATGGACTTCTAGCAGTGTCTGACAAATAAATCAGTTGCAGCCCTACTCTTATCATTTACATCATTAGCTGTGCAGACTCAGGCAGCTTACTTAACCTCTCTGAGCTTTGGGGGAAAGAGGCTGATAGACCTTCATAGGTCTCAAGTGAGGGTTAACAGAGTAGATGAATGTAAAAGTGCTTTGTAAAATGTAAGACCATGTCAGCATTTCAAGAGCAAGTATTCTCATGGCAACTATTGGTAACTTAGAAAATCTCCATTTGCAATGGAAGAACTTAGTATCTGGGGGAAAACAGAGTTACAGTAAATGAGGCCCAGTGTCCTAAGAAAACCTTTATATTCAAGACTGTGAATTCCTATTACCTTAAGAAAGGCCACCGGTTAATGACCATTTACCTTAAATCCTGAGATGATGTCCCCAAGTTTAGCACAAAGCCCCACACAATTTAGGCTTAAAAATGCTTGTTTAACAACGAAATGATATGGATTATAATAATGGTCATGATGAAGGTGATGTGGGGGCAACAGCGCCAAGGATGGCAAGAAATTAACTGTGATCTGGAAGAAACTGCCTCTGGAATCTCTTCTTCCTTCAACTAAGGCACCTTTAACCTTTCCAAATTCCATTCCAAGGTTAGATTCCAGAAGTCCAATCCTGCATTTCTGGTTTTGGCAGATTTTTCAGCTATAGTATGATTTTTTAAAAATATATTTTATTGATTTTTTACAGAGAGGAAGGGAGAGGGATAGAGAGCCAGAAACATCGACGGGAGAGAAACATCAATCAGCCGCCTCCTGCATACTGGGGATGCGCCCACAACCGAGGTACATGCCCTTGGCCGGAATTGAACCCGGGACCCTTGAGTCCGCAGGCCGACGCTCCATCCACTATCAAAATCTTTTTTAAAAGCCAATTTCAATCCAGGAAAGGATCCATATTAATTGCAGTATCAATGAAGACTTAGGCAGAGTGTAAGACAGCATTCAATTTCCTTAGGTTCATCTTTACCTCTGATTCTGGAGACTTGTCTTCTTCCTTATCTATACTCTTATCACCAAAACTTGAAATTACAGTAACTTATTTTCATCGATATTGATGAATTTAAAGCCCATCCATTTTTGTGGACTCTGATTTTTTCCCCCCAGTGTCTTCTAGGGAAACATGTATAATCATTCACATCATCCCAAAGTTTCCACCAGACTTTAGTAAGAGTAGCTGGTTTTATATCATCCATGCCTCTTTTATCACCACCAAAGTATCAGCAATGTTGTACTTGTTGCCATGTTTCTTTCAAATTAAGACAAGGTGTTTTTTTTTTTCAATACAGTCAGCAAAGTGGTCAAACATATGCTTGGTGTAATACCTCCTGAATGCTTCAATTATTCCCTGATCCAAGAGCTGATGAGAGCCAGTGCCTCCCAGAGGGAGAAACACACAGTATCATACTAGGATAATAATAAGTCTGGGTGATTGAGACCTCTGCCCAAAATTAGCAATACTCTGAATTCAAGATTTTTTTGTTAAATAAATCTGGGCTTGATGGGTAAAACAGTTACGAAACCAATCCAAACAGAGGGCAGCAGTTACTGATAGTCCGGTGACTGCCAGGAAACAGGAAGAGTTTTTGTTGTTTTTCATCTTTTCCCAAAAGACAAGTGAGCCCTAAACGGTTTGGCTCAGTGGATACAGCGATAGCCTGAGAACTGAAGGGTCCCAGATTAGATTCCGGTCAAGGGCATGTACCTTGGTTGTGGGCACATCCCCAGTAGTGGGTGTGCAGGAGGCAGCTGGTGGATGTTTCTAACTCTCTATCCCTCTCCCTTCCTCTGTAAAAAGTCAATAAAATATATATTATTTTAAAAAGACAAGTGGGATTAGGGTCTTTATAAAGCAGCAGTTATTTATCTTTTTGTCACTTGCAGCATCGGCACAAAATGAGGAAAATCCTGTTCTTAGTTTCCTCTAAGACTTCTAGATTGTATTTTTTCCCCCTATAAGGACACTAAGGGTGCACTTCCAAAACAAGCTCCTGCCCTTGGCACGTAAGTCCGGTGAGGCACCTAGGTTCTGGCTCTCATCAATTTCTGGAGTTGCCTGGAGTACTTAGGTGCCCACTGGGCATTTAACTTCGCAAACGGTAAAGGTTTCCCAAGCCACCCCATTTCCCCATGAAATTTATCTGGGTTGCCCTTTGCCCTTCCTAGTGGTTTCCATCAGACGCTTGTACTGCATTTGGGATGGTTACAGATGGCCTTCAGCTTCAAAACTGTCTCTCCCCACTCCCCGCTCCCGTTCCCACCCCCTACTATCTGGTCCCGTCCTTGACCCAAAAGGTTAACTCGGTCTCCATCTTCTTGATGTTTACACCGGGGAGTGCAGTAGAGAAGAGGGGCGAAACATTCCGTGATGGCCTTCTTGTTTTTCTCAATAGTGAGCGAGCATCGTTGACTCATTGACACCCAAAAAGCGCCCCACGTCGGCATTACGCCTTCTTTCAACGTCTAGATACTTTTCATCGTGTCTTCCAGAGGCATGGCCCTCCGCCTCCTCTGGATACGTGTCTAACCCGGGATGAGGAGGCCCATCGCCTCCGCTCCACCTGGGGTAGACTCATTTGCTGCCCAGATCGCAGGGGCCACTCCCACTCCCACGCCCACCCTGGCCGTTGCCAAGAGCGTGATTTGAGAGCCGGGGGCCGGCTCGCGAGATCGCTTAACCTTCAGTTGGTTCTCATGCTCACGACTCCGCTGGCCAGGCATTCGTGGCGCCTCCGCGCTCCGTGGAAACTACGCCAGCCGCCGGGAAACGTATGATCGCTCGGCCAATTAAGCAGCGCCTGAGAGGACGCCGCTCTGCGACCCCGCAACCACGAACGATCATTGGTTTGGCTCTCACGGACGCACATCTCGCGAGGCTTGGGAATACCTGGACCGTGCGCGGTCCGCCAGCTCCGCCTGGCTAATGCGAAGGCCGGACGGTTCGCAGTCACAGCCAATATTCAGCGAAGGGAGGTTGCGTCCCTCAGATCTCGCGAGACTCGGAGATCCCCGCCGGGATCCTGGAGCCGGGAGCCGGGAGCCGGGAAGGCGACCGTTCGAGCCCCTTTCTGCTGGACGAGGCATGATGGCGGCCCAGGCGCTGGCGCTGCTGAGGGATGTGTCGCGGCTGGAAGCGCCGCTGGAGGAGCTGCGCGCGCTTCAGTCGGTGCTGCAGGCGGTGCCGCTCAGCGAGCTCCGCGAACACGCGGCGGAACTGCGCCTGAATCCGCTTTTCTCCCTGCTCATTGAGAACCATCGGTGAGAGGACCCCGCAGCTTGAGTGGCGTGGGTCTGGGGGCGGACGGGGAGACTCCGCCAAGTGTGGAGACGGGAGCGGCTGGGCTGGAGGGAGGGCTTTACCCAGTCGCAAATAAAGGTTTAAAAAAAAAGCTGAAATTTCAGAGAGGGAAGGACCCTAGGCTGAGAGGCAAGAAATGAGGTGCAAGTTTAGCCCCCGAGCGGTGCCCCTGACCATCTCCTGGCCTCACTACCGTCATCTTTGAAGTAGGACTTGAGGGCGGGGAAGCAAGGTTTCCCGCCCGCAGGAAGGACTCCACAGTCTTTGTGCACCAGTACTTGCCTTTTTTTCTCCTCAGAAGGAGTCCTATCCTGGCAATTTTGCTAGATCCATCAACATTTTAGATACATACACCATTTGGTCCAGTAATTTAACATGCAGGTATACGTTGTATTCCATAATTTGGGAGAGTTAAATACTTGTGATCCAAAACTTTTCTACTTGAAAATATTGTAGGATCCCACTTATATGAGGTAACTAGAGTAGTCAAATGCGTAGAGAAAGTAGAATGGTGGTCGCCAGGGGCTGGGGGAAAGGGAAAATGGGGCGTCAGTGTTTCATGGATGCAGTTTCAGGTTCAGTTTCAATGGGAGATGAAAAAGTTCCGGAGTTGGGTCCTGGTGATGACTGCACAACACTGTGAATGTACTTAATGCCACAGCACTGTACTTACAAAATGGTTAAAACATAGGAGCATGGAGCAGACTGAGGAATTTCAGAGGATAGGTGGTGGTGGGGAGAGATAAACCGGGGAATTATATGATATGCATGTATGCATAGCCCATGGACACAGACAACGGTGTGGTTAAGGCCTAGGAGTGCCGTGGAGGGGGTCAGTGGGGCAAAAGAAACAAAGGGGACATCTGTAATATTTCCAATAATAAAGATAAATTTTTAAAAAGAAAAAAAAATATTAAAATGGGCCCGGTCACACCATTGACCCATGAACCAGGTCACAGTTTGATTCTCAATTGGGGCACATGCCCAGGTTGCGGGCTGATCCCCAGGAGGAGGCATGCAGGAGGCAGTCCATCAATGATTCTCTCTCATCATTGATATTTCTGTCTCTCTCTCTCCCACTCTCTGAAATCAGTGAAAAAGATGGTAAAAATTGTAAATTTTATGGTCTGTACAATTGCAATTTTTTTTATTGATTGATTTTTGGAGAGAGAAACATTGATTTGTGGTTCCACTTATTTATGCATTCATTAGTTGAGTCTTGTATGTGAGCTGACTGGAGATCAAACCTGCCACCTTGGTATATGGGGACTGCACTCTAACCAACTGAGCTACCTAGTCAGGACCTACAGGCCGATGCTCTCTCCATTGAGCCAAACCAGTTAGAACCGCAATTTTTTTTTAAAGGAAAAGAAAACCTTTAGCGGTCTCTCCCCTTCCCCCTTTCATCCACTCACAGGTTCTGGCAGCCAGTGATCTGCTTTCTGCCTCTGAGTTTGTCTATTCTGAACATTTCATGTAAATGGAATCATTGTCAAAAGGAAGCCTTTTGTGTCTGTCTCCTTTCACTTAACGTATTTTCAAGGTTCATGTTGTAGCATGCATCAGTACTTCATTCCTTTTTGTGAGGAATATTCCATTGTGTGGATATACCACATTTATGCATTTAATTGATGGGCATTTGGGTTGTTTCCACTGCTATGAATATTCGTGTACAAATTTTTGTGTGAACATGTTTTCAGTGATCTTGGGGATATGTTCATTTTTAAAGCTTTTGCTATTTATTACTTGATCGCCTTTTAGCAAGATCATACTAATTTAATACTGTGCTTCCTATTAGCAATGTATGAGTGCTCAGTTGCTTTTGCTGCCTATAAGAGACAAAGAAGTTATTCTTGAAACACCTTCTGAATTTACATCTGGTAGTCATCAAGTTCTAATTAATTTACTTCTTTAATCGCTTCTTAAACCTCTTTCACTCCTTCATCACCTCAACATAAACTTCTAACTGAAAATTCTCTAACACTGACAGTGATTTCTAGAAGTCAGATCTCATCATGTTAATTCTGCTTTAAAACCCCGTCTTGACTTGTCATTGCCATCTGGGAAAAGGTGAAATTCCATAGCAGGACATGAAAGACCAATCAAAATCAGATTGCTGTGCTTTTTTAAAAATTTCATTTCTTGACATTGATCTTTTTCCTTTTACCTACCTTCTTCCCATTTTTCTCCCTTTCTGATCCCAGTCATACCAAGTTACTTGTGGTTCTTTGAATGCTTACCACTCTGTGCCTTTTCATGTGCTACTATGCCCTTTACCTTTCTTCTCTTGGGTAACTTAAAAATTTGCTCAGGGCCAACACCAGTTTGGCTCAGTGGATAGAGCATCGGCCTGCAGACTGAAAGGTCCCAGGTTCAATTCCGGTCAAGGGCATGTACCTGGGTTGCGGGCACATCCCCAGTGGGAGATGTGCAGGAGGCAGCTGATCGATGTTTCTCTCTCATCGATGTTTCTAACTCTATCTCTCTCCCTTCCTCTCTGTAAAAAATCAATAAAATATATTAAAAAAATTTTGCTCAGGTATACCCTGTACCCTTTGTTCTTTACTGAGTTCCCACAGCTCCCAGCTTTAAGCTAGCGTTTATCTGACTCTGTTATAGTTGCCTATTTTTCTGTATCTTCCATTAGACTGAGCTCCTTGTGGTTATAGAATATATCTTATTCTTTGTAGCCCCAGCACAGGCATGGCACATAATAGGTACATGGTAAATGTTTAATGAACATTTAATGTTAAAGTAGAAGCTGATGTTTTGAAGAGAAGTCAGTGTGGAGATCCTCATTGAGCCAGGGGTCAGATATTATTAGATTCCCTTCTATCTGAAAGGACATGAACTAATGAGGTCTATGGTATCTCCTTTAGGGAACAGACCACTTTGTGTGTATCCATTCTGGAGAGATTGCTCCAGGCTCTGGAGCCCGTTCACGTGGCTCGGAACTTCAGGGTTGACCTGCAGAGGGGACTGACTCACCCCAATGATTCCGTAAAAATCCTCACTCTCTCCCAGGTATGAAATCTTGCTAGCACATAATGAGGGAACCAACCCTTAGTGACCATCTCCTCTGGGCGAGGTTCTGTGCAGGGAGATGAAGAAAACATGATCTGTCGCTGTCCCTAGGAAGTGTCTAGTCTATTCGAGTGTACATAGCTAACTATAACCAGGGGGATACAAGTTAAAGCAAGAAGTTCTAAGTACCATTGGCAGTATTCATTCATCAAATACTGAATTACTTGTAATGCCAGGCACTGTACCATATGTTGTTAGAGCTACCAAGGTAAATAAAACTTACTTCTTTCCTTAGAGGAACCCTTAGTCTAGAGAAAAAGATTGCCATGTTAAGTCATGTTATTATACTGGCATGAACAAAGTTCTGTTGTAAAGGTTCCTAAACCAACAAATTAAAACAATTATCACTCTGGTAGTCAAAACATGCTACTATTTGGGTGAAGAACTGCTGCTGAGAATGTTAGGATCTGAGCAGTTAGTTTATCCAGTAGGTATTCAATTACTGTTTTTCTTTTCTCCTCTACAGTGTTTATTCAACAGATTGGAGAAAGTATCAATTTATCATTTATGCGCCAGACACTGTAGTATGTGCTTTACCTACTTAGTCTCATTTAATCTTCATTACTATCCTGTACTTAACTATTATATTCCCACTTTACAGATAAGAAATTAGGCTCAGAGAAGTTATTTGCCCAGGGTTTCAGTTTAGCTAAAAGTGAATAGAACTAGGAATTTTATTGTTTTCACTCACTGAGGTGTCTCAACTCTTTACCCGTTTTATTTTTTTTTTAATTTTTCTTTCATAGCTATGACTGTGCCATTGTGTGCTTGGCTATTGAATGTCACTGAGGTGTCTCAACTCTTTACCCGTTTTATTTTTTTTTTTTAATTTTTCTTTCATAGCTATGACTGTGCCATTGTGTGCTTGGCTTTAATGAATGTGGGTTATTTGGAATTTTTAATGACTTGTATTGTAGTTGTAATCAGTAACTCTTAGAATAACTGTACACGAAGGTAATTTGACCGTCAGATGTTCCTACCTTGGGAGAGTATTTCTGATTGTTTTTTTCTTTCAGGTTGGAAGAATTGTTGAAAATTCTGATGCTGTTACTGAGGTTCTAAATAATCCTGAATTACTAAAACAAGTCATTTATTGTATTGGTGGAGAGAATCTATCTGTAGCTAAAGCGGTGAGTCAGCTGCAACAATCCACTTGAACATGCAGAAGTATTAGTGTCTTAAACGACAAAGAAAGGCTTTCTGGATTGAGAGGTGGAAGTTTAGAAGAGATGATTGTATAATTGCAGCTTCATATAGATGGTGTCAAATAAGTACTAGTAAACTTCTACTTTCTAGAGTACACATGTCTAAGTTATCTGTCATAGGGTTTACATTGGGTTACTTCCTAAGAAACAAAACTTACATAATTATTTTCTGTTGAGAATACTATGTATCTTTTCCAATTATAAATAGTAATAACTAAAACAGAGTGAATGCTCATGGGACAAGGTGCATTCAAGACACTAATTTTCACATCAGTCTTATGCAGTAGATACTACTATTTTTTGTTTTTATGAATTAAGAGATATTTTATTTCCTTACAAGGCCATTAAATCCCTGTCAAGAATATCACTGACCCAAGCTGGACTGGAGGCTTTATTTGAAAGCAATCTGCTGGATGATTTGAAAACTGTAATGAAAACAAATGACATTGTTCGATATAGGGTCTATGAGGTAAGATGAAAAGCACACTTTCTGATGCCTACGATTCAGTATGCAGGAAGGGTTACCTTGGAAGGCAAGATGGTCATTTAACATGCATTTATTGAGTATATAGTCTGTGTTAGGCCTTAGACTAGGTACTGGGGATATAGGATGAATTCTCCACTTAGTATGTGAGACAGTCATAAAAATATGTATACTGCTTTATTAAGTACTACAGTAGAGGAGATACCATTGAAACTAGACTTTGAAAAACTTAGTTGTAGTAGTAGTAAGAAGAAATGGTTCCCATTTTTACCAGCTTTGTACTGAGTCCTGTCCTAAATCCTCACATGTATTGTCTTGGTTCTCACAATCCCTATATACCATTATTATTAACCTCACTATTAATGGAGTAATTGACCCAAGGCCACACAATTACTAGGCTGCATATTTAAAATAAATCCTCTACAGTCTAATTCCCTCTTCAGAGCTTACTTTGCATGCCTTCATACTGATTTTTTTTTCCTGCCTCTCTAAGTCTCCTGGCTTGTTATCCTCTATTGAGCTATTAATTGTTGGGATTTGTGAAGGCAGAATCCCAAGCTCTCATCTCCTTGTAATCTGTATCCATTTTTAGGCAATATTATTCATCCTGTGATTTCAGTGCCCACCAATAATGGTGATGACTTTCAAATGTAAACCTCCAACCCAGACCTATCTCTCTTTTGAGCTCAGATCTTCATGTCCAACTGTTTACTCTCTTCTCCTTGAACATATTCTAGGCCCCTCACACCCATGTTGAAACCAAACTCCTGATCTTTTCTAACCACTTCATGCCTCTAATAAAAAAAAACAGCAACAAGAAACTGGCCCTGTCTCATAGTCCATGTGGTTGGTTATTACACCTCTAGCTCATTCTCTATGAGGCTTTGTTCTCTTGGCCACATATCCATTCAGTCATCACGTTGTGTCAGTTTTTCTTAAACCCAAGCATTTGTCTTCCTTGATAAAGCCAGTAGCACCCAAGTCTAAGCTACTGATCTCTCACCTGAACTACTTTAACTGCATCCAAACTAGTCTCATCCATTTTTGTCACTACTAGTCTATCTTAACATGTAGTTGGCATGATCTTTTAACCAAGAAGTTGTGGATTCAATTCCTCGTCAGGGCACATACCTGGGTTGCCAGTTTGATGCCTGGTCAGGGCATGTATCGGAGGCAACCGATCGATGTTTCTTCTTATTAAAACAATAAACATATTCCCAGGTGAGGATTTAAAAACAAAAAACAAAATCTGGTTCTGTCATTTCTCTGCTTGAAATCCTCTAGTAAGCCCGTAGAACATACTTGATAAATGAGTAAGTGAATGACTGACAGATAGAATGCAGGCATGAATGAATGAATGATTTTTGCAATCTTTTTATTGTTGCTGATTCAGGCTTTTGTACCTTGATAATAATTTCTTTTGTAAAAAGTGCACATACACCCAGATGTAATGGAGTGTTATTGACTGCCTTCCATACGTGCCCCAACTGGGAATTGAACCAGCAACCTAAGTGTGTGCCCTGGCTAGGAATCAAACCTACAACTTTTTGGTGTATGAAATGACGCTCCAACCAACTGGGCCCCCTGGCCGGGGCCCAAAGTAATTTCTTATTTGTTCAGTGAAATTTTCCTACTTGTGGAGATAAATACATGTAACATATTTTTTAAATTTCTTATAAAGTGCCTAATCCTGCATTTATCATAAAATGAGATTTAACAAGTTTGGGGTTGTTTTGACCTTTCTGTTTTTCTGTTCTTTCAGCTAATTGTGGAGATCTCTTCAGTGTCACCAGAATCTCTAAACTACTGTTCCACCAGTGGGTTGGTAACCCAGCTCCTCAGAGAGCTGACTGGGGAGGATGTGCTGGTCAGGTATGTTGGCTGAGAGTTCTTAGAGCAAAGTGCTCTCCTTTGGAGGGCCAGAAAACAAACTTGGGACTTATCTTCCCTAGTGGAGCTTGTGCCTAGGTTGCAGTCTCATAACAAAGTATGTTCTGAAGAAATGACCTTTAGAAAATTGCTCAAGTGACATTGTGACAACATACTGGAACTTAGTAGAGCCCCATATGAGAATACAGCTACTTTTTAAAAAATATATTGTTATTGATTTCAGAGAAGGAGTGATGGAAACATCAATGATGAAAGAGAAATATGGGTCGGTTGCTTCCTGCACGCCCCATCCTAGGGATTGAGCCCGCAACTCCGGCATGTGCCTTTGACCGGAATTGAACCCGGGACCCTGCAGGCTGATGCTCTATCTACTGAGCCAAACCAGCTAGGGTAATACAGCTACTTTTGAATGACTGTGTTCCCTGTCCTTAGGCATACATGTCTGCTTTTTTAAAAAAAAACAAAAAACATTTTTTTAACTTGATTTCAAAGAGGGAGAGAGAGAGAAACATCAATGTTGAGGGAGAATTGGCTGCCTCCTGCATGCCCCACACTGAGGAAATTGAGCCCATAACCCAGGAATGTGTTCTGACCAGGAATCGAACTGTGACCTCCTGGTTCATAGGTCAACGCTCCACCACTAAGTCACACCAGCTGGACTTCCTGCCTGATTTTAAAAATTTGTAATCATATGATAACTGCCATTTTGCATTACTAATGTGCTACCATACACATTTTTTGGTGTTGTTAAATAAATAGCACTATGGCATGATAGAAAACATGGACTTTTAAACATGAGTAAGACTTGGGCTTACATGCATCTCTGCTTATTAGCTGATTGACCTTGGACAGATTATTGTAACCATTTTGCACCTCACCTAAATGTAACAATGGCAAATCTATAAAGAAGGTAATATGAGGATTAAGTGCATTTATCATAGAGACCAAGACAGTGGCTGACATAGCTCCTCAAAGAAATGTTAATTCCAGTCTTTCACTCCCAGTACTCTTCTCTCTAAACCCCCTTGTCAAATGTTTCCTTGTTGATATTCCACAATTTACCAATATAGCCTCACTGTTGAACACTTAGTGTGCTTCAAATGTTTTGCTGTTATAATAGCACTATAGTTATCTTTGTGTATACAGAAGTTTGTTTTCCTTAAGTGATTTTTTGATTGTCCTGTGTTTTTTAAATGTGACCAAAGTTGTTAAACTCATAGCAAAAATCAGACACCAGTTACACTTTTTCAAAGCATTGGAAATTAATTTTGTTAATTTTTTAGTTCTGTATCAGATTTTATGACATAGAAAAAAAACACCTACAAATAGTTTTTTAGTTAATTGGGAAAATTGGATAATGTTTGGGTATTAAGTGATACCAAAGAATTACTATTAATTTTTAAATATGTGGTAAAAAGCATTATAATTGTGTGAGAAAACATGTGTTTTAGAGATGTTTTAAAGTATGCAGGGGTAAATGGCAAAATGACTAGAACTGGTTTTAAAATAATTCAGCAAAAAAAAATAGATGAAATAAGAAAAGCAAAATCTTGATAACTATATAATCAGGATTATGGTTACCTGGGGGCTTACTGTTCTGTTCTCTCTACTTTTGTGTATGTTTGACATATCAAGATAAAACAGAAGTTTTTTTAAAAATCTCTTAGGAGTAGCTTTATTATAGTAGAAATAATAAGTGCGCCTTAAGTCGGAAGATCAAGATTTAGGTCTAAACTGTACCTTGTAATAAAGATGTGATTCTGGACAAGTCATTGCGATTTTCTCATCCTGTACCCTCATGTGAAAAGTAGAGCCAGAATTATTGACCTTTCAGATTTCATGGGAAGAATTAAATAAGATAACTTACATGAAAACAATTCCTAAACCGTGCTAATCATATGCAAAATCTTGGCATTTCAGAGCTACCTGTATAGAAATGGTGACGTCAATGGCATATACTCATCATGGACGACAGTACCTTGCTCAAGAAGGAGTGATTGATCAGATATCGAATATAATTATTGGGGCAGATTCAGACCCTTTCTCTAGCTTCTATTTACCAGGTAAGAAATATTGATGCCTGTGGAAATGATGGCTCATGTTTTGTTTCTGAGTTAGTTCTGTCAGGGCAGACCAAGGATCATCATCTTTAGAGCTTATTCCCTTGAGATGATACCCAACTCATAGCCCCTTAATGAGGTAGAGTCTATTGCTCTGGGAGCCATTGCAGTATTAATTCTGATTTTCTGGAAATACTACTGTTTAGATCATTAGGATTGTTTTCTGTGCATCTCAGCTACAAGAAACATAAATTAAAATATTAATAGTGGTATTTACAGTATATTCACAGATTCATCAAGTCTTTAAGTTGTAATCTTTAGCTAATATAGGAACTATTCCAGCTATTCTGTTCAAGGACATGATTGATTAGTTTTTCTTGAACATTTCCAGAAATTGAAGATTTATTCCTTCATTAGGTAGCCTATATTACTTCATTGAAGAAAATCTGCTGAAGAAATTTTAATTTCTTCCTAATAATAACTCCAAACTTACCTTCCTGTGATTTGTATCCACTGATCCTTGTTCTTTGTTCTCCCTCTTGCTTGTGACAATGCTTTTTGCACCCAGCTCCATTAACACCCTGGGACCACTGTTTTTAGGTCCTTCAATATTTCCTTTTGGTCTGTCTGATTTTAAGACAACATAGTACTATAGCCTTTCACAGTAATAGTTTATTACTGTCTCTGTGAAAACATAGGACCTGCAATTTATGCTGTCTTCTTCCCCTGTTAAAATATATTTTTGTAAATATCTCTAGGATTTGTGAAGTTTTTTGGGAACTTGGCCATCATGGATAGTCCTCAACAGATCTGCGAGCGTTTTCCAGTTTTTGTGGAAAAAGTCTTTGAAATGACAGAAAGTCAGGACCCCACCATGATTGGCGTAGCAGTGGACACAATTGGAATCCTGGGATCCAATATTGAAGGAAAACAGGTTTTGCAGAAGACAGGTTGGTATGACTTGTTTTAGCTTTCTTTAATGATATCTTAATTTTTAAAGTTTTTTATTTAATATGTCTTTATTTATTTTAGAGAGAGAAGAAGGGAGAGAGAAACATTGATTGGCTGCCTCTTGCATGCCCTGACCAGGAATCAGACTGACCTCTCAGTATAGGGGATGATGCTCAACTAACTAATCTACACCAGCCAGGGCAGGGATATCCTTTTTTTTTTTTTTAATATATTTTTATTGATTTCAGAGAGAAAGGGAGAGGGATCGAGAGATAGAAACATCAATGATGAGAAAGAATCATTGATCGGCTGCCTCCCTCGCGCCCCCTTCTGGGGATTAAGCCAGCAACATGGGCATGTGCCCTTGTCCAGAATCAAACCTGGGACCCTTCAGTCCGCAGGCCGATGCTCTATCCACTGAGCCAGGATTCAGTATGTAAGTTTGTTGGCTGGTACATTAACTGCATTGTTAAAACTGCTTTTATATATGGCAATCTTTTACCACGACCTTAGACGCATTCCTAAAAAGTCTAATTATTAGTGAATATTTTTTGAACTTGGCTGGAAGAGCTCACTTTCCTGCTACATCTTCCTTAAATAATATTCATGGTAAAAAGATGATGGGCTGGAGTCAGGAAGAACTAGGTTCTTTCACTGACTTAGCTTTTTTAATTGTATTCACTTCACTACTTTAGGCCTTATTTTCCTCATTTTTTTTCAAATCTTTATTGTTGAAAGTATTTCATTTTCCTCATTTTTAAAAAAGGGTATAACAACTACTTCTCAGGGTTGTTATGAATATTCAATGAAAGGGCAGATTTTTATACCTGTAATGTCAAGTACCGGAGGAAAATTATTACAAGATGTCATGTTAAGAGTGATACTTTTGCCCTGGCCAGTGTTGCCCAGTTGGAAGTGTTGTCCTGTGCACCAAAAGGTCGCTATTTCAATTCCTGGTCAGGAACATGCCTGGGTTTCTGGCTTGATCCCCAGTAGGCAGCCAGTGGATGTCTCTCTCTCAGATCAGTTTTTCTCTCTTCAATGTTTCTATCCCCCTCCCTTCCTCTCTCTCTCTCTAAAATCAACCCATTTTTAAAAATGTGGTACTTTTATCGAACATCCATGAGTATCTTGAAAGCACTGAATTTGGCACAGTTTGGCGGCACTGTTAAAACCCTTGTGTGAAGTGTATGTTCAAAATTAATATACCATTGTGCATCACAGTATCCTTGTTATATGTATTTTTTAAGTGCATTTTCCTATGACATAGAACTCTTTTACTGCCCTTCAAAGAACATACTACTGTCATTCTCATTTTATACATAAGATAGTTGAAACTCAGAGAAGTTAAGAAAATTTTCTAAGATCACACAGCCTGTGTAGCAGCTGCTACTCAAATCCAGATCCTTTGATTCCTGTTCGTCCACACTTTGACTTATATATGCTGTATTGCATATGAATGTGTGTTGTAGGCTTCTCACTTGGTCTCTGACTACATGTTTATTTTTATTTATTTATTTTTTAAAAAATATATTTTATTGATTTTTTACAGAGAGGAAGGGAGAGGGGTAGAGAGTTAGAAACATCGATGAGTGAAACATCGATCAGCTGCCTCCTGCACACTCCCTACTGGGTATGTGCCCGCAACCAAGGTACATGCCCTTGACCAGAATCGAACCTGGGACCCTTGAGTCCGCAGGCCGATGCTCTATCCCCTGAGCCAAACCGGTTAGGGCTATGTTTATTTTTATATTGGTTTAGGTTGGAGGTCATAGTATATGAAAGCAAAGCACACTTTAAAAAAACCTCTTCACTTAAGATAGCTATTATTTAAAAAAATAACAAGTGTTGACAAGGATGTGAAAATTTTATGTTACTTGTATTTTACCCTTGTATATATGTGGTGGGAATGTAAATGGTGTGGCCATTGTGGAAAACTAGTGGTTCCTCAAAAAATTAAACATAGAATTACCATATGATCCAGCAATTCCACTTCTATGTATATACCCAAAATAATTGAAAAAAGACTTAAATAGATATTCATACACCTGTGTTCATTAGTAGCTATTATTCACAATAGCCAAAAAGTAGAAATTACGTTTGTTGATGGATGAAAGGATAAATAAAATGTGGTATATACATACAATGGAATGTTAATCAGCCTTCAGAATTAATGAAATTCCCATACATGCTACAAGGAAAAACCTTGAAGACATGCTGAGTGAAATAAGCCAGACACAAAAGGATAAATACTGTATAATTGCACTTACACAGTACCTAAAGTTGTCAAATACACAGAAACAGAAAGTAGAATTGTGGTCACCAGGGAATGGGGACATTAGGGAATGGGGAGTTATTATTTAATGAGTACAACTTTTAGTTTGAAATAATGAAAGTCCTGGAGATGGATGGTGGTGATGGATGCACAACAATGTGAATGTACTTAATGCCACTGAGCTATATGCTTAAAAATGGTTATAATGGTAAATTTCAAGTTATTTGTATTTTATGACAATCAAAACTATGTCATTATCCTTCAAAGGAACTCGATTTGAACGCTTACTGAAGAGAATAGGATATCAAGCAAAAAATGCCTCAACAGAGCTCAAAATTAGGTGTTTGGATGCAGTTTCATCTCTTCTTTATTTACCAGTAAGTAGAGTGGGAAGTTAATGAAACATAGTGGGATGTACTTGGGAGAATAAATCTGTATGAGTTAACATAATACTGGTTAATTTAATACAAATGTTGATCAGATAAATGGCATCTTTCTAACTCTTAGTAAAAGAGTATAGCCCTCATTATATGACTAGTGACATTTTTTAAGTTAAAGTGGAATCATAAAATATTGGAACTGGACCAGACCCCTAGATATTGCTTAATCAGACTCATTAAAAAACAAACAACCTGATAAAATATGGGCTGGGTTTGGAGGAAGGTGCTCCAGACTTGGCAGAGATCACACAGCAAGTTAATGACAGAGTGCTGTGTTTCCTGACTTCCAGATGTCTTGCGATTTTTCTTTTCCATCCTGTAGCCTGAGCAGCAGACTGATGACCTCCTGAGGATGACAGAAACCTGGTTCTCTTCTTTATATCAGGACCCGCTGGAGCTTTTACGTGGCATCAGTAATCAACCCTTTCCTGAACTACACTGTGGTGCCTTAAAAGTGTTCACGGTAGGCAACCCCTTCTTTTCCCTGGGTTCTTCTGGGACTCTGTTTAACACATAAGTACTGTCAGTGAGCCAGGCACTCTGCCGTGCCCCAGGGATAGAAAAGTGCATAGTAGTTTCTGGCCTCTGCTATTACTATAGACTAATGAGGGAGACAGATGTGTTTACATACAGTTTCAGTAAATGGTATTAGATGCTGTGGCAGAGCACAGAGTACTACGGGTTCACAGAATTAATTCCAGATTCCTTATCTACCATCAAGTAAGTCCTTATTGTCCTAACCAGTCTTCTTTCCTAACCAGTCTTCTTTATGAGCCTTATTTATGGCATTCCCCTCTGGCACTTAATGCTCTAGTGATACCAAACTGCTTGTTTCATATCTCTGGGCCTTCACGTGCCCTCTGCTTTAAACATTCTTCCCTAACTTTGCTTGTTAACATCTTATTCATACTTCAAGGACTGATCAGGTATCTCCACAAGGTTGAGTGAAGAAATGTTGGTTCTCATATTTTGCATGTATTCATTCAGCAAAAACTTTTTAAATATATTTTTGTTTATTTCAGAGGGGAAGGGAGAGGGAGAGAGCTAGAAACACCAATGACGAGAGAATCATTGGTCGGCTGCCGCCGGCACAGTCCCTGCTAGGGTTTGAGCCTGCAACCCGGGCATTTGCCCTGACCGGGAATCAAACCATGACCTCCTGATCCATAGGTTGGCACTCAATCACTGAGCCACGCCAGCCAGGCACATTTAGCAAATATTGATTGAGTTTTTGTTGGGGTTTTTTTGCTAGGGGCTAGGGATACAATAGTTAAGAAAAATATACAAAGACTTTCCTTTCATGTAGCTCACTGTCGGTTGAGGGACCCAGACAGTAAACATAATTATATAGCTCATTATATAATTAGAGTTGTGGTAAGGATTATACCTCTGTGTTCTATTTATTACATTATGTTGAAAATGTTTACTTATTGACCCATTAAACAGTTTGTTGAGAATAGGCACCATACCTGATTTATCTTTGTAGTCCTAGCATTTACCATATAACCAATTTATCTATTTTTTAATAAATATTATTCTTAATGGTTATTTCATTTTTGTATTTCTGTATACTATAATTTACTTATCATCCCCTCACTGTTAGACATTTATACTATAACTGTCGCACTGTAAAGAATATCTTTTTTTTAAAATATGTTTTTATTGATTCCAGAGAGGAAGGGAGAGGGAGAGAGAGATAGAAATATCAATGATGAAAGAGAATCATTGATCAGCAGCCTCTTGCATGCCCCCTACTGGGGATCGAGCCCACAACCCAAGCATGTGCCCTTGATCTGAATCGAACCCGGAACCCTTCAGTCCGCAGGTCAATGCTCTATCCACTGAGCAAAACCGGCTAGGGCTATAATGAATATCTTTGTATACAAAGACTTTTATTAACATTTAGATTTTCTTAAATTAGATTCCCAGGAGGGAATTTACTTGGGCAAAACATTAACATTTTTAAGGTTCGTGTTGCCAAATTTTCTTCTAAAGATTGTGCCATCCAACTAACAAACTTAATTTCTTAAGCCTCAAAGGAATTGTGTTCTCTCTATCTTCCATTTCAGGCCATTGCAAACCAACCCTGGGCTCAGAAACTTATGTTTAACAGTCCAGGTTTTGTAGAGTATGTGATGGACCGGTCCATAGAGCATGACAAAGCTTCAAAGGATGCCAAATATGAACTGGTGAAAGCACTCGCGAATTCCAAGACAATTGCAGAAATCTTTGGGAACCCATATTATTTGAGATTGAGAACTTATGTGAGTGAAGGTCCATACTATGTGAAACCTATTTCCACAACAGCAGTGGAAGGAGCTGAGTGATTTCTTCTAGAGTCTAAATCAGTTTTGGACCAAAACTTCTCTTAAGGCATTTGACTCTCTGTATTTTACTAAACAGAGACTTCTCCCCCCAGAATTATAGTGTGTTGAACCTAATTTTATCACCAGCATTTCTTGTGTTTCTACATAAAGTACAATGTGAAACCAAGAGAGCACAAACTTGGTTATAATTGAAACATATTTTTCACATTCATTTGACTGCCTTACTGTTTACAAGAAGATGGAAGTTTTGTTCTCCCAGAAAACTTTTGTGGACTTACTTTTTTAAAAGTTTGCTTTAGCCCTGGTGAGGTGGCTCAGTTGGTTGGAGTGTCATCCTGTACACCAAAAGGTTTCAGATTTGAGTCCAGTCAGAGCACATACCTGGGTTGCAGGTTCGATCACTGGTTGGGTTGCATATGGGAGGCAACCAATCAGTGCTTCTCCCTTCCTCTTTCTAAAATCAATAAACATATTCCTCTGGTGAGAATAAATAAACAAACAAATAAATGAAATTTGCTTGAACTAAAATAGAACTAAATTGTTTCTCTTTGCCATCTTTTTTTTTTTCCTTTCCCCTCTTCTGGTTCTACTTACAAAGTCTTGGATAAAATTACTCTTTGAAAAACAAACCAAATGGAATCTCAAAATTATGTTCTCTATAATAAGAATAAATACTTTGAAAAGGTCTCTTTTTCTTTTTTGTTGTTACTATATTTTCTTTGAAAATAAACTTATAAAAAATGTTTCTAGTATTCTTTGATGCTTTTTTTATATTTATCATTGAATTTTATTCTTGTGGTTTTGTGGGGGGAGGAATGATAACTCAGAAAGGTCCCCAGACTGTATTTATTGGTGGGTCTCGTTGAGGGTTTTGCTTTTAAAATTTCAAATTCATCAAGTTAATGTTGAGTTGATCAGAGAAAGGGAAACAAACTCCCAATAATCAAGTTAAGATGAGATCATAAGGATGGGCGCTAATCCAATGACTGATGTCCTTAAAATAAAAGGTAAGTTTGGACACAGACACAACACAGAGGAAATATATGAGGTTACAGCCACACAGGAGACAGCCATGTGAAGATGAAGGCAGAGATTAAAGTGATGCATCTGTAAGACAACGATTGCTGGCAACCACCTTAGAAGAGACAAGGAAGGATTCTCCACTACAGGCTTCAGAGAGCATGTCCCTGCTGACAACCTGATTTTGGACTTATAATCTCTAGAACTTAAAGTGATTAAGTTTCTGCTGTTTCATGTCACCCTATTTGTGGTACTTTGTTATGTCATCCCTAGGAAACTAATGCAGAGTGTATACATAACATAAAATATGAATTGTTAACATCCCATCTATAAATCATCTAATTAGTACTTAATGAAAATAGTTTCACGAAACGTTAGAGGCCCAAGTTTTATACTAGTGAGGTTTAAGTTAATATATATACTGAGTAGCTAAAACTTTAAATTGAATATAATCCGCCACTCAGATTACTAAAATGCTTCCTATTTGTAGACAAGATGAACATTTGTTAAATTCCTTATTTTGCGTTTTCTTTAATAGCATTCTCAAGAATTAGTCACCTCTGCTATCACTTGAGTCATGACAGTTTTATAAGTATGATTTTTTAAAATTCGCTAGTTGTAAAGAGAAACCAGACTTTTCGTTGTAATTAAATTTAATGTTCTATCTTTTCTGACAAGAGGT